AACTCTTTGTCAAAAAGCCATGTTTTTTATTAATTCATATATTGAAGTAACTTGTTAAAATTGCAAACCACTGTACTGTCAAGAATGAGAATCTGTGTTTATCCATTCTTGTATCCAAAGAACTCAACACACAGAGGTACTCAAATGTTTGTTAAACTAAAGAATGCCCCTCCCCCCCCCCCCCAAAAAAAGTCATACTCATATTGTATCCTATACCAGCAAGGTACTACCATGTTACAAGATCTATTCTAGAAAAAGAAATAATCTCTGGGAAAACCTACTAAGTACCAAGAATATCCTTTATCTTTCTTAAGCACAAGGGTTTCACACACTATAAGCATATCTAAAAGAAATTGGAAGGGGCCAAATTTAAGCTACAAAATAAATTCTTACTCAGTATGCCACCAAAACAAATTCTAAGAAAAAATAACTATTGATTTCCCATTTGTTTCAAGTTATTTTCAATAGAAACAAATTCTAATACAAACCACAGTAAAAAAACACAGACTAGAGTGAAATGTAAGGGTATAAAAATATAGGACTTTTTAACTTCAAGACGAGTGCTATCATTAGTGAACCCATCTCTCACTCTAGTTCTCCCTCATATTCTCTACCTTCTTGTAGGTTCCTCTTCACTGACTACCTATGTGCCAGAATCTATGCTAGATGCAAGTGAAATACTGCAGGCCCTGCCCTCAAGATGTCTACAGGTCTTCAGATTACAAAAATTCACAATACAAATATTTAGTCTACAGGCCTTCAGAATACAAATATTCACTAAAAACACAGCAACTTCAAGGACTTTAAAATCATATTACATTTCTTATTTAGACATGGTAAAGGGGTGGTTGTTAGCTAATGTGTTACTTCTGAAGAACTGAAGTGTATAAGCTCCAAGGTAAAAGGCTATTTGACGTATCCCCAATGCCTAATATAGTGACTGGAACAAATTAAGTGCTTAATAAATATTTGTTTAAAAATGAAAGTAAACTGTAACCATCAAAGGCATTGGGCTTAAGGACAAAATCTATTTTAAGCTATCTCCTTTCTCCTACCTTCTCTGTAAATTCAACTCATTCCACTAATTCAACTCTGTTCACCTGTAAGAACAGAAGCAGAATGGCCTTTACAGACCTGTCCCCATATCTTCCCTCATTATTAACAGGATGTCACTCCTTCCATTTGGTTAACAGAAAATATATGGCTCTGCACATACATAGCAACAAATAGCTGAACTCCAAAAATCAGGGTTTATTATCAAACTCAAACCCACTTTCAAAAGCTCAGCTAAGAAAAATATATAAAATAATCCATACACTCATGATGCAAAAAAAAAAAAAAACCTACCCTTGAATTTAGTCAAATCATCCGAGAATTGAAAACATCAAACTAGTACCCTGTATTCACTGAGCTACTGAACTACCCATCAGCAAAAAACCAACAGCATACTAAGGGGCAATACAGGGACTGAAGTGTCCGGGTTCAATTCTGATCAAGGGCATATGCCTGGGTTACGGGCTCAGTCCCCAGTGGAGGGCATGCAGGAAGCAGCCAGTCAATGATTCTCTCTCATCATTGATGTTTCTCTCTCTCTCTCTCTCTCTCTCTCCCCCCCTCCCTCTCCCTTCCTCCCTAAAATCAATAAAAATATATTAGAAAAAGAATGAAATTCAGACATACTAAAACCATATTCTTAATCTTTAAAATTCCACCATATCTAACCAATGACTTGCAGGGAAATTAAGATGATAAATAACACCTACACAGCATTTACTATGTGCCAGGCTGTCTAGTATATCTTCTTATTAATGCTAACAATCCCATAAAGTAGGTACTATTGTCATCCCCATATTACAGGTGAGGAGACTGAAGCACAGATGTTAAGTAATTTGACTGAAGTCACTAGTAAGTGTGAAAACAGTTTTTGAAACTAGCTTGGCTCTAAAGTCAAGCTCTTACCTGTTATCTTACACTGCTTCTCCATATGACAAAGATTAACTTTCTGCATCCATCACTTCCTACATTCAAAGTTCAAAGCAAGCAAAGTACTATACTCAGAAAAGTTACTCTACATCCCAGAGCTCAACACTGAGAGATTCTATTTCAGTAGAGTGGGGTTGTGGCCCAGTATCTGTACTTTTTTTTAAATATGTTTTTATTGATTTTAGGAAGAGAGAAACATCAATAGGCTGCCTCCTGCATGCCCCCTACTGGAGATCAAGCCTACAACCTGGGGGCTTGTGCCCTGAACAGGAATCAAACCAGTGACCTCTTGGTTCACAGGTTGATTGATACTCAACCACTGAGCCACACCAGCTGGGCAGCATCTGTATTTTTTAAAGGTACCACATGTGATTCTTGTGAACATTGGTTAACATCCCCTGCCCTAGGTTTCTAAAATAGTCAGGGCTTAGCTGAACATTTTTATAGGGAGGGATGGCTGGAGGAGGTAAATAGAGACACACACACTCTCTGTCATGTATATGTATGTACTAGAGGCCCGGTGCATAAATTCCTGCACGGGTGGGGTCTGGCTGACCCGTCCCAATCGGGGCAATTGGGGGAGGGGCTGGTTGGGGGGAGGGGCCGCAGGCGGTTGGCCGGCCAGCCCCTCCTCCTGGTCGAACTCTTGGTTGAACTCCTGGTGGAGGGGACAATTTGCATATTAGACTTTTATTATATAGGATATTTTTCCCCCAAGTCCCCTTTCCAGAAAGGTAATGTGGGTTTTTATGCCTTGAGTACTATTTTAATGGTGACAGTAACAAAACAAAAAAAAGATATTTTGTTTGTTTCTTAAAGCAAGATTGGATCAGATTTGTGCATTAGAAAAATAACTCGTGGTGGTGTGGAGAGGTGACTGGGCAAAGAGACTGCAGACAAGGAGAAAAAAAAATTAGCTAAGAACTCATAACTACAGGCAAACGAAAGGCCTGAATGAACTAAACACTGAGAATGAAGAGGATGCAGCAAATTTAAGAAACATCATTACGGTTAAGTGGCTAGGACGTGGTTATTGATTAAACACTGTTATAGAAATGGACATCTCCAAGTTTGTTTTACATGCACCTAGGTGAGTGATGCTGCCATTAAACTAAATCTAAACTGAGAGAATAAGTTAATGTTGTGGATCATGATAGTATTATTTGAAGAGGGGCAGCTTTTGGCATGAAAATATAGTTTATAGAAGTGATGGGAATGGGTGTGAATATGCAATGAGAACAAATGAGGTGATAGAGTTATGAAATAAAAGACTAATTTTAAGAAGTCAGATTAGGAAAGATGAGTGGCTAGGGAGGCAGTTCGATTAATAGTTGTACTTCAGTTTCATCTACCTTCCCAACCTTTATTTACTTTCCTTTTGCCATTTTCCCTCTAGTTTATTTTACATAACTATATTAATTTTATATTTGTGAATAGCCTGGGAGGCAGGGTGAAAAAGGTCTTACATTTCACAGCTGTTTCATCATCTCAAGGGTTCAAAATCAATCCACACCTGAAAGAGGAAATTCTCCCTCTTGAAAAGTCTTAGACTGAATCAGTCCAGATGGAAAATCAAATGGGATAACCTTCATATACAGGGCTTTACAGTTGTGAAGAATAAGTGAAACAGCTTATTCTTGTATTTTTACTTATTAATTGTATTATTTTCCAAATGAACAACTATAAAACTACTTTTGCCCCATTCTGTATGTAGTGAGTCAAGTAGATCAGCACCCACCCTGAATACAAAAACTGACAATGACAAGACAACCAAAGAGCGTGAATAATCCCAAATTGATGACCAACCTATCGTTTAAAAAGCCAGTATGCAGAATATGTCATTTTTAATGCTTTTGTTATTTCATGTAATCCTAACGACTCCAACACAAAAAATAATGATTGACATCACCTCCACTTTAGAGATAAACAATATGAAGGACAGAGAAGTCATGCTTGCCCAATTCCGCAAGGTCACATTTCAGATTATCAGTAAAACCACGACCCACAGATTATTATTCCGCCACGTAGTTTAGTAATCCATACACCAAACCACACATGCTGCCAAATCATTCAAAATGGGGTGGGGAGGGCACAGCATAGGGGAAATGAGTGAAAATCGAATAACAGAGGAAGCCGTCTACAGGTAAATAGTACTTAGGGTGGGATGAGTCATCACCAGACCCAACTGCTTACAAAATACTCGCGCCACGGGAAACGCCGCCAGGGCTAGGTCGTGACAGCCCTAAACAACAAGCTCACTGGAAGAAGCGGGGCGTGCTTTCGCAGCGTCAACGGGCACTACAGAATGAATCTCGGCACCCAATCCTCCTTCCTAAGGAACTAGGCGGGGATCACTGACCGCCCCCTTAGGAAAGCACCAAAGATACTTTCCAGAGTGACAGCAGCAAGGAGACGTCTAGGGAACAAAAACCTTACCGAACAACTTCGCAGGCGAGCGTGGGACGGAAACACGCCCTTTCGCTCCCAAGCACCGACCAGCTCAGCAGTCGGGTAAAATGGATCTACTACACTCTCTTCTGTGCGCGACGGCGGCGCGGCACCTGTTTCTGGCTCCGCTCTAAGGGCCTTCGCCGAGAGTGAAGCAGAGGAAGGCAGGGGCAAACGCGATGAAGGCCTCCAAGAGAGGAAGCCGCAGGAGTCAAAAGAGCAAACATGGAGAGCTAAAAAAGGGAGCCAGAAAAAATAAAGGAACTGGGCAACCACCGGTCCCTACGCGAAAGTAATACAAAGAACAGGCCCCCCGCCCCGGGGCGGAACAGACCGCCGCAGTGCCGAGGCCTAGCTGGCCTCGGAGCGGGAACCAGGCGTCTCACTCCCCGACTGAGCTGGCATTCTCGAGAAAACAGCTGACACCGCCAAGTCCTCTTCTCCCACACCCGCCACGGGCTGTTCCTGGTGCAGACAAGCCCCCGCCTCCCTCCCCGGCCGGCCTCCAAGCAGCCAAGGCGTCCCCCGTTACAGAAAAGAGCGAGGCGTTTCCCGTGGCCGTTACTTACCTTCCCGCTCACTACGCCCGCCACCGCCATGTTTCCTGCGCGGGCCTGTGATGACGTAGCAGCGCCCCACGTGTCTCTCGGCCTCACAACAACATCCGGCAAAACTAGGCTGATTTCCGGGAGGGGAAGGGGCGGGAAGTAGACGGAACGGCGCGGCGTGAAGGGGCGGGGCGGGGGATCCGTCTGACGCATGCGTGGTGAGAGTAGGGCGCGGAGGCAGCTAGGGCGGAGTCTCTGGTGCACACTGCGCATGTGCCTGTGTATTTTTCTAAGAGGGAAGTGGAGTTGACGTGGTTTTGCCTGGGGGTTTGCGGAGGAGTGAGACTCAGCCAATCGCCTGCCAATTCAGTTCGGTGAGAACACCACTTTGGGAGCCTGCGGACATAGTCCTGGCTTTGTGGCTAGCCGCTAGAGGCAAGTCACTTCCTCCTTCCGCTTCAGCCTCAGTTTCTCACCTGTACCACTGAGATGCTAGAGCTGTGTGAAGATTAAAGGAATCCTAGCCCTCTATCTGAGGCACACACAGTGCCTTTCCCCTCTGTATGTGAAGTGTCCGAATTTCAGTTTGGTCACTGCCGCTCACACTTGACGTTGAGCAGGTGTTTTGCTAAGAACTTCAGTAACAGCCCTGACCGGATTGGCTCAGTGGATAGAGCGTCGGCCTGCGGACTGAAGGATCCCAGGTTCCATTCCGGTCAAGGGCATGTACCTTGGTTGCGGGCACATCCCCAGTGGGGGGTGTGCAGGAGGCCACTGATCAATGTTTCTCTCTCATGGATGTTTCTAACTCTCTATCCCTCTCCCTTCCTCTCTGTAAAAAATCAATAAAATATTTTTTTTTAAAAAAAGAACTTCAGTAACATACCACACCCTCACTGTTCTAGAGTCCAACGTTCATAGCTCATAAATTCTACATAGTTACTTAATAACTGTGTGACTTGAAACAAGTTTCGGAATTCAACCAAGCTTCGGTATGTAAAAGGAGAATTACCCATGGAGTGGTTGTAGGAATCTCCTGGGACAATGCATGTATGGTAAGATGGTTTTTCAAGATAGTAAGATTTTAGTTTTCTTCTCCGTGCTATAAAAGAATGCTAGGGAATGATTGGAAGCTCCCCTGATGGCTCTGGCACAAGATGTGGGACTTCCCTTGCCCCAGAGCATAGTAAAAGGGCCTTTTGTACCAAAACACCTGTGTTCATTGAGATACTTCTCTTTTCACACAGTGGAGAAAGGTTAGAGGCTTTTTGAGGTTGGTTGGGTAAGTGGCAACCAATGGGAATAACAGAAAAGGTGGGTTTCAGGTTTTGTGCCTATAGGGAACCTAATGGGTGAGGGAGGTGGCAAGACCTTACATGAGAATGGATGTGTAGGACCGTTAGGGAGGCTGCACAGTGGGCCTCAGAGATTCTATTCATGGCCAACACCCAGGCCCAAGCTTGGCACTGACTGAATCAGCAAAGCAGCTCATCTGTAAGGGATAAGTGAGCTGGGGAAATGAGCATGTTAATAGTAACCAACATCGAGTGAAGACTTGAGGACCTTCACCAAATGTACTGACTAAGACCCCTTGACCTTCATACAATCCTGGATGTGGTTTGTAGACCTCTTATAGTGATCCAGATAAAATTTTCCACCAGCTCAGAGTAATGGGGTATGATTAGAGGAAAAAACAATTTTTTTTAAATATATTTTTATTGACTTCAAAGAGAAAGGGAGAGGGATACAGAGATAGAAACATCAGTGATGAGAGAGACTCATTGATTGGCTGGCTTCTGCACACCCCACACTGGGGATTGAGCCTGCAACCCAGGTATGTGCAACCAGAATCAAACCGTGACCTCCTTAGGGGCAAAAATAGAATATTGGGAACTAGCTATGGTTATGGGAAATATTAATCATGCTCTGTTAACCATGATTTCCTTGTGTTGGTTAAAGAAAGAACATTCTGACCTGGGAGTCAACCATAGAATGTGGTCCATTCTCATTTAGGAACTGCATATTATCATGGAGAGATTAACAACCTTGTTGTCTAAACAATGGAGTCTACCAGAGCCTGCATTGCCTACTTCCCCATGCTTGTAATCCCTACTTCCCTATGTAATCTTTGTCCTACCCTATATAAGCAGCTGGTTTATGGAGGGCTGCAGAGCAGATTTTTGTGGATGACCTGTTGCTCTCCCATATTGCTGGCATTATTGGAATAAATGCTCATATATTATTCAACGCTGTCTCTGTTTAATTGGCTCAAGTAGAAACAGGCAGCACAGATCCATTGATTGTCCGGTTACCATCTCCTAGTTCAACCATGAGCCACACCAGTTGGGCAAGAAAAATTTTAATACAACATTTCTTATACCTTTGTTTTGGATAAAAGTTGAGTGCCAGGAATAGAATACTTACCATGGTACCAATTATTTACATATCTAGGGGCCCGGTGCATGAAATCCATGCATGGGGGGCGGGGTGTCCTCAGCCCAGCCTGCACCCTCTCCAATCTGGGACCCCTCGGGGGATGTCCAATTTCTGGTTTAGGCCCCATCCCCAGGCAGTCGGACATCCCTCTCACAATCCAGGACCACTGGCTCCTAACTGCTCACCTGCCTGCCTGTCTGATCACCCCTAACTGCCCCCCCTGCTGGCCTGGTCACCCCCAACTGCCCCCCCTCCCCCGGCCAGCCTGGTCGCCCCACACAGCCCGCTGCTCAGTCGTTTGGTCAGCCCTCACTAACCCCCTGCTGGCCTGGTCGCCCCACGCAGCCTATTCGGTCATCTGTGTGGTTGTTTCGGTTGCGATGGTTGCTTAGGCTTTTATATATATAGATAAGTTTGGGAATTAAAGGCTTCTTATTGAAAATTTGGCACCCTAGATTTATCTGCTACTTCTTCATATTCTTAACCCTCATCCAACAACTTTCCTTTAAATGCTGGTGCAACCCATGAGCTATCCTTGCATTTCTTTTACTTTTTTCCCAAACACTATCGTTGGGCCATTATCTTCACATTCCAGTATCACCACCACCTATGTGCTGATGACTCCCAAATACCTGGAGCCCAAGTCACTTTCCTAAAGTCTAGAACCTACACTGACTGCCTTGTGGACGAAAGGGGCCACATGCAAACCTGACAATCTCAGGGAAGGCCTGCATGGCAGTCTTGCAAACTCAGACCTAAAGTAACCACAAAGGATGGTCTGAAATTAAACTTTAACTAAAAGCAGTTATGGGTAGCAGTCAGTGTAGGTTCTAGACTTTAGGAAAGTGCCTTGGGCTCCAGGTACTTGGGAGTCATCAGCACATAGGTGGTGGTGATACTGGAATGTGAAGATAATGGCCCAAGGTAGTCACCTCCTAGACTGGTATCTTCACCTTTACCTTAACTGAGCCTATCTGTCTTTTTGCACCTATGATAATATATCCTTGAAATGTCTGGGTAGCTTGTAACTTCCCTTTTTCCGGACTCCTTGGAGCACAACCTAATGTGCCTGGGCGCCAGGACAGATACCACAAATTCCTTCATTATCATCATGTTCATTGTTCCTGCACCCACCTAAGTTATGTGTCTATCATTTTGCTTTTTATCTAATCCCAGGGGTTGCCCTGCTTTGCTTTCTCCCGCCTCTCTAGTCTATCACCAATGGATTTCATGTAACCGACTTCATGAAAACAAAAAATTCTCATTTTGTCAGATTTTCTATATACTTAAATAGTTCCCGTTACAATTGTTTGAAATGTAGCAAGTAAAAAATAGTCTATTATTGCTTGCAGGTGTTAGAAATAAGGCGAGCCCCCAAGTCAGGGGTCATGGTAGAATATAAAACATACTCTGGAGCCAGGCAGCAAGGCAAACATCTTTACCTCTTTTTAGAAGGGTGCGCACACATGGTCTGGAAGCAGAAGAGGTGGGCTGCTCGGGATTTATAACCCCTGACGCACATGACCAGTCCCTTGCTCCTGATTGGAGCTCAGGCGCACAGTCTTTTGCAATTGGCTAATTCAAAGGGAGTGGTTGGCCTTTGCTGTCTCAAGATGGTGCCCCTGAGTCACACAGCCCAAAATGGCGGCTGTCTACACTGTTCTTTGACAGAAAAGATGACTTGTTTATTCTCACAATTCCCCCCTTTTCTTTATTTAAACTCTTCAAACTCGGCTGACATCCATTGACTCTCCTGCTCTGCAGTGTCTAGGAGACTAATTTGCAGTTTGGTCAATGCGGTTTCGATTAACCCTTGGCTAAGACATGGGATGATGTGACATCCCATCACTGTAGCTCCTAATCAAAGGGGTGAAGTGGACTCCATTCTCAACCTTCCTAATGCTGCGACCCTTTAATACAGTTCATGTTGTGGTGACCTCCAACCATAAAATTATTTTCGTTGCTACTTCAGAACTGTAATTTTGCTACTGTTATGAATCATAATGTAAATATCTGATATGCAGGATGTATTTTCATTGTTACAAATTGAACATAATTAAAGCATAGTGATTAATCACAAAAACAATATGTAATTATATATGTGTTTTCCAATGGTCTTAGGCGACCCCTGTGAAAGGG